AACTTACAGTGTAGGAAAACTTTGGGTTTAAATCGGTAATAGCCCCTTGGCCCAATTACATCACACGCTGTGTGCGCCTGTGCAAGCTATCCACCTCCCTAGGGTAATTAGGATTGGAGCATCCGATTGTGCTGTACGAATGCGACACATTTTACGTAAAGCGTGACTGCAGAAAACGAAGAGACGTTACCCAAGAAGGCCGGACCCCTCCGCAGTTGCGCCCCGACACCGACGCCCACCGGCGGGGCGGGGGGCGGGGCGGGGCGTGGTGGGGCGGGGGTAGAGCCCTACGCAGACCCAGACGGCCGCGGGGGACGGAACGTCCACTGGCGAGGCGTTGTACGGGGAAGTGGGCGGGGCTTGCGTGTATGGGCGTGGTAAGAGGCGTGTGTGCGTGTGGGGCGGGGCGCCCGCGAGGAACCGCCTCCCGGATTCAGGAAGCGGAAGCTGAGTCCGCCACCTGGGCCGAGAGGTGGGGCCAGATGCTCCCGCTGAGCTCGCGGCCTGTAACCATGGAAACCATGGAGGCGGGGATGGGGTGGGGAAGTAGGCGTGACCTTTAACCTTCAGTTGAGCTACGTCAGAGACGGCGGCGGAATCCAGTTTGCAGACGGAAGTAGGACGGCGCGGCGCCGGTTGCCGGCCATGGAGGTAATGCGTAGTAGGTCGCGGGTCGGGGCCGGGGATGATGGGGTCTGCGCCCGCGTCCATTGCGGACTAAGGAGTCGGCTGGATATGCGGAGCACAGCCGCGTACCTCCTCGCTCCAAAGTTCCACGCTGACTTCCTTCCCCAGCGTTGTTACCTGCCCCGCACACCTGTGCTCTCGTGGTCACCTGTTCGCATACCCTGTTCTCTCTCTCATGCACTGCTCACCGCAGCTGCGGTGTTGATGTTTAAGTGCCGGCCACTGTGCTGTGTGCTGACGACCCTGGGTCGGGTTTCCACAGGGTCCCCGTGGGTCAGCTCGGATTAGTTAAGGTCTCTGGTCACCTGGGTTTTGTTTTGTTTTGTTTTGCAGGAACCTGTTCAGGATGTGGGGGCTTCACCATCTACCCCTGGAACTGGAAAATCCAAGGTGAAGAGTGGATGGGGGGGTGAACTGGGGGACTTTGGCAGGCAGCGGGAAAGGATGACTTACAAGAAACCGTCATTCTCGAAGGGATCTCAGTTGGGTTTACATAGCTCCAGCTTTACGTTGCTGATCTAGGACGGTCTGGCTGTTTACTTCCTGCCTCTGGGTGAACATTGCCGAGAGAGTTTGCAGTTTTTCAGACATTAAACGAAGTCATCTAAGTTTTCAGGCTTTTATGTACAAATGCCTGGGAAGGAAGACCTGGTAGTGCTTTGGAGGAAAAAGCTGCAGGAAACTTAAGGAGCACGTTCTGTTCTGACTCTGGAGCAGGAGTTAGGGAACGATGTCCCCGTGGTTTGTGAACCATGAGAGTCACTTACCTTTGTGAATGCTGGATTAGGTGATCGGCAGGGCCCTAACCATGTAAACATTCAGAGGCCCCAGAACTTGTGACCGTGTTACTGCACACACACTTTGTTTCGGTTACTAGCCTGAGCACCCACTCTTACACTTCATGGTGTTCTGTGCCGTGGAGTCGGTTCCAATTCATAGACACCTGTATAGAGTTTCTGAGGTTGTAAATCTATGCGGGAACAGAAAACCTTGTCTTTATCTCACAGAGCAGCTGGTGGGCTTGAACCACCAGTCTTTAGTTTGTAGTACAGTGCTTATCCTGCAGAGCCACTGCACTCCCCTCCTAAATGTGATACTGGTGGTGATGGTGTGTCATGGAGTCAATTCCTCTGTAGCGTTTCCAAGGCTGAGTCTCTACAGCAGCAGAAAGCCTTTGTCTTTCACCTGCGGAACCTGGTAGACTCTAACTGCTGTAACCCAATATGCCACCAGAGCTCCGTTAACAAACTTCATTGTTCTTATTGTTGTGAAGTCCCTTGGAGTCGGTTCCAAGAAACAGCTGGTGGGTTTGTGGTTCGCAGTCCAGTACAGATCCTATAACTCCACACCAAGACTCCAAATTCTGTAGTAACTGGGAAATAATTCCTATTGATATCCCCGTTTCACAAATGAGAAACTGAGCCTGCTGGGGTTAAGTAATTTTCCCAAGTACTAAGGCCTAATTTTGGGCCTCCCTGAGTAATGCACATGGCTAATGCTCCCAGCTAATAACCAGAAGGTTGGAAGATCAAGTCTACTTAAAGGTACTGCATCAGCAGAAAGCCCTGATGATCTGCCTCCAAACTGTTAGCCACTGAAAATCTCATAGAGAGAGTGTGCTCTGACATAGGAGGCCACCACTGGAAGTCTCTTCATCAGCTGTGGTCGTGGTCGTTGTAAGTGACATTGAGTTGGTTGTGACTCAGCAACCCCGTATAGAGTTTTTGAGGAGCAGCTGCAGTGAGTTTGAACCCGTGGCCTTCAGACAGCAGTCCAGAGCTTACCTACAGCACCACACAGACCCTGGTAGTAAGTGCTGTCAAGTCGGTTCCGACTATAGAGGGTTTCTGAGGAGTGGCTCGTGGATTCGAAACACTGACCTTTTGGTTAGCAGTGCAGTGCTTATACAGTGCCACACCAGGCCTCAAGGACTAATTTTTAATGAACACCAAATGAAGCTTGATTCATCTTGGTACAGTAAATCTTCCGTTTGCTTTCAGCCAAAGACTTCTTTCACCCTTGGCTAGAAATGTATTGTGCTAAGAAACTTTAAATAGCATTAGTCTCAACCCCTACAATTAAGGGAATCAAAACCCGGGGGCTTTCTATACCTAAAGGATAGTAGCTTTACATAAAATGACGTTTGCAGGGATTTTCTTGTTTGTTGTTTGTTTTGTAACTTTTCATAGTTGCTTAATTAAGGAATCCTGGTGGTGCCGGGGTTAAGCAGTGCTAACCGAAATGATGGGCACGTTGACTCCGTGGGAGAAAGACGTGCTTCTGCTTCTGTTCAGTCTCACGGCGCTGGGCACCCGCAGGCACTTCTCTGCCCACACTGTCATGGGGATTTCTTTGTAGTTTTTTTTTTAACTGAGTCCTGGTGTGACACTGTAGGATAAGCACTGAACCCTGAGGTGAATTTGAACCACAAAATCAACAGTTCAAACTCACCAGGCGCTCCTCGGAAACCCTATAGAGGGTTTCTATGGGAAACCGACTCCACGGCACTGAACAGTTGCTTGATTGGAACCCTGGTTGGTGCAAATGATTAAGCACTAGACTAGTCACAGAAAGATCGGCAGTTCACACCTGCCCAGAGGCACCTGGCAAGGGAGTCCAGGAAGATTGACTTTCAAGGAGCACAGCTGTTGAAAATTCTGGAATCCTAGTGTGGCACTATAGGATGAGCGCTGGTCAGCAGTTCGACCCACCAGCTGCTCCGTAGAAATCCTATCCAGGGTCACTATAAGTCAGAACCAACTCAACAGCACTTAACAACAACAATGGAGAATGAGTCCGATCCAGCAGCAGCTAGTTTTGAGTTTTAATTAATAATGAAGTTAAAATTGATTTGCTACTTTTGAAAAATGTGCAATAGAGTATCTTTGTTGTTAGGTGCCAAAAAGTCAGTTCTGACTCACAGCTACATTGTATAGAGTTTCCAAGATAGCTGCAGTGAGAGCGGGAAGCTCTGTCTTTCTCCGTTAGAGCGGCTGGTGGGTTTGAACTACTGACCTTGCATTTAGCAGCCCAGTGCTTATTTTTAGGTAGCAGAGAGACTTTATTCAGTAGACTATTTTTCTTTTTAGGTAGACATTGTGTTTCCTTTTTATGGTATGCTAGAAACAAGTGATAACAAACTGGTAACATCACAACATTTTTCAGCTGGAAACATTGCCCAAGGAAGATCTCATCAAGTTTGCCAAGAAGCAGATGATGCTAATACAGAAAACTAAATCAAGGTGTACAGGTATTGGGCTGAATATATTTATCTTTCCCACCAATCCCATTTACTCTTGTTGTTAAGTGCTGTTGAGTCAGTTCCGACCCATAGTAACATGTGTAGGAGCGGCTGTTGGGCTTGAACCACCAACCTTGTGGATCTGACCCACAGCGGAGTGGAGTCCATTTGTGCGTAGGTAAAAAAATCGGGTTTTTTTTGTTTTGTTCTATTTTCCAGGATTCTAAATACAGCTTATATGGAGAAGTAGAAGCTGTTATTTAAAATTGTAATGACCTGTGTGTGATGTTTTTATGATCACACGGCTTACATTGCACTTTCCGTTGCGTTATGAGATAAAGCAGGGGACGGGCTGATTGTTGGTCATAGTGCCGTGGAGTTGGTTCTGACTCACGGTGACCTGATGAGGAGAAGAGTGAGGCACTGCCTGGTCCTGCACAAAGCTCACAATCCCTGCTGCTGTCTCTCTGCTGCTCCATCTCGTTGGGGTCTTCCTCTTGTTCGCTGACCAAGCATAGTGTCCTCCTCCAGGGACTGGTCCCTCCTGATAATATGTCCAAAGTAGAGACGAAGTCTGGCCATCCTGACTTCTAGGAGCATTCCGGCTGTACTTCTTCCAGCACAGATTTGTTTGTTCTTCTGGCAGTCCATGGGACTTGTCATGTTCCCCTCTAACACTGGAACTCTGCGGTTTTCGTTATTCAGAGAGGTCTCGTGCAGTAGATTGGCCTAATGCAATACGTCATTGGATTTCTTGACTAGTGCTTCATGGATCCAAGTAAAATTAAGTCTTGGCAACTTCAGTCTTTTCTCCATTTATCATGAGGTTATTTATTGGTCCGGTAGTGAGGATTTTTGTTTTCTTTACATTGAGATGCAATCCATATTTAAGGCTATGGTGTTCGGTCTTCATCAGTAAGGATTTTAAGTCGTCTTCACATTCAACTAGCAAGGTTGTATCATCTGCATGTTGCAGGGTGTTAGTGAGTCTTCCTCCAATCCTGATGCCACATTCTTCTTCATATAGTCCAGCCTCAGATTATTTCCTCAGCAAACAGATTTAATAAGTGTGGTGAAAGAATACAATGCTGGCACACACCTATCTCAATTTTTAACCATTCATTGTCCTCTTGTATTAGAATGATTTCCACTTAGTCTATATACAGATTCCTCAAGAGCACGGTTAAGTGTTCCGGAATATTCATCGTCTGCAATGTTGTCCATAGTTTGTCATGATCCACACAATTGAAAGCCTTTGCCTACTCAGTAAAGCACAGGTAAATATCTTTCTGGTGTTCTGTGGTTTCAGCAAAGATCCGTCTGCGTTCAGCAGTGATAACCCTCGTTCCATGGCCTTGTCTGAAGCCCGATGGAACCTCTCCAGCTCCTCTCAGTGTACTGTTGCAGCTGTTTATGAATGATCTCTAACAAAATCTTACTTGGATATGATATTAATGATAGTGTCCAATGGTTTTTCTCATTCCGTCGAGTCGCCTCTCTTTGGAATGAGCACATATGTCCATGTCCTAATCAGTTGGCTAGGTAGCTGTCTTCCAAATTTCTTGGCATAGATGAGTGAGTGCCTCCATTGCTACCTCAGTTTGTTGAAAGAGTTCAATTTTCCATCAGTTCCCGAAACATTGTTCATTGCCAATGCCTTCAGTGCACCTTGGACTTCTTCCTTCAGTACCATTGGCTCGTGATCATGTACTACCTCTTGAAATGGTTGAACATTGTCTGGTTCTTTTTGGTACAATGACTCTGTGTGTTCCTTCCATCTTCTTTTGGTGCTTTCTGCATCATTCATTATTTTGTGTACGTTGTTCATTATTGTTAAGTGCCATCACATCGATTCCAGCCCGTAGCCACCCTGTATAACAGGGGTGGGAACATCCGGCCCTGGACCATATCAGGCCCATGAGATCATGTGGTCTGGCCCTGCCAAGGCATGGCAGTTCCAGCCGTCACATGGTGAGGTAATTAAACTTTAACCAAATACAGCAGGCTGATCTTTAAGTTGATAATTTTGTATGGCTGGTGAATGATATTATACATTTTGATAGAAGAAAGGTTCCCTAGCTCTGCTGTATAGGTTTCCACGGAGCAGCTGGTGGGTTTGAACTGACCTTGTAGTTCCCAGTCCAGTGCGGACCCTACAGCACCATCCCAAGAAGAGAGTCTTTGGCCTGTGGAATCCTTTACTATTTCAAGTTCTTTCAGCTTGAGAAATGCTGAGTTTGTGCTTCCCTTTTGGTTTTCTGACTCCAGGTCTTTGCACATTTAATTATACTTGACTTTGTCTTCTCTGTCTGCCCTTTGAAATTTTATGTTCAGCTCTTTTACCTCGTCATTTTTTCCATTTGCTTTAGCAACTCTGTGCTGGAGAGTAAGTTTCAGAGTCACTCTGGCATCCATATTGGTCTTTTCTTCTTCCTTGTCTTCTTAATGACCTTTTGCTTTCTTCCTGTATGATGTACTTGATGTCATCCCACAACTCTTCTGGTCTTTGGTATTTTGTGTTTAATGCAACAAATCTTTTGTTGAGATGATCTCTAAATTCAGCTAAAAAGTGTTCAAATTTATATTTTGGTTGTTGTGGACTTGTTTTCGTTTTTTTCCGCTTCAGCCTGAACTTGGATATGAGCAATTGATAGTTTGTTCCACAGTCTGCCCTTGACCTTGTTTTGGCTGATGATATGGAGCTTTTCCACCATCTCTTTGCAGAGATGTAGTCATTTCGTTTCTGTGTCTTCCATCTGGTAAGGTCCATGTGGATAGCCAGCCATCTTTGATATCATTTAAAAAAGGTATTTGCAATGAAGAAGTCGTTGGTCCTCGCAGAAGTCTATCATGTGATCTGCAGCATCATTTTTATCACCAAAGTCATATTTTCTGACAACTGATCCTTCCTCTTTGTTTCCAACCATTGCATTCTAATCACTAGTAATTATCAATGTATCTTGATTGCATGTTTGATCAATTTCAGACTGAAGAAGTTGGTAGAATTCTTTAATGTCATCATCACTGATTTTAGTGGTTGGTTGTAAATTTGACTAATAGTGGCATTAACTGGTCTTCCTTGTAGATGTATGAATATTAATTATCATAGGCAATATTAATACATAAAGATAGATCTTGAAATGTTCTTTTGATGATGATTGTGACACCATTCCTCTTCAGTTTATCATGCCTAGCACAGTAAATCCTGTGCTAGTCAGACTCAGTGGCCAACACCCTAGGATCGCCTTCTTTATGCGTTCCATTGCATTTTTTACTACTTCCAGTTTTCCTAGATTCATACTTCATACATTCCATATTCCAGTTGTTAAGGGATCATTACAGCTGTTTCTCTTCATTTTGAGTTGTGCCCCATCAGCAGATGAAGGTCCTGAAAGCTTTACTCCATTCTCATTATCACAGTAACTCTACTTTGAGGAGGCAGCTCTTCCGCAGTCGCTTTTTAAGTGCCTTCCAACCTGAGGGGCTCATCTTCTGGCCCTGTATCTGACAGTGTTTCTCTGTTATTCATGAAACATTCAGAAGTCATCCACCTCTCCTTATTCTTAGACTGGAAGCTCAGCTAAAACCTGTCTACTGTGGGTGTACCCTTGTTGTTAAGTGTTGTCAACTCTGTTCTTACTCATAGTAATCCTGTATAGTGTTTCCAAGGAGCAGCTGGTGAGCTTGAACCACCAACTTTGAAGTTCAAACTGACTTTGCAGTCCAGCGAATTACCCCACAGCACCACACCAGGACTCCCTGAGTGACCCTGCTGGTATTTAAAATACCAGTGACATCCCAGCGACACACAGGCCACCACAGTATGAGAAAGTGACAGGAAAAGGGTGGAGGAGCGGGGGAGGAGGATTAGAAAACAAGTTGTTGACTTGAAGCATTTTTCTCTTCATGGGGATTGTCAAGTTTTCAAAACCTGGGTTTTTTTCTGTGAACACATCCCGGAGAGTCAGTAGAACTACGAGCAGCAGAAGATCGTGAGCATAAAGAAGTAAGAGGAGAGGTACTAGTAAAGTCTGAATGTTTCTCTATTCTGGGAGTGTATAAGTATAGTTACTTAATGAACTTGATTGAGTCTCATTCAGCATCTTTTTATTCCAAAAGGAAAAAGATTTCAGTGTTCTTAAATGTCTGTGTTTAAGTGGATAAGCTGGTGAATTTTCAGTGACTAAACCCAAGACTTCTTTGTTCTTAAGAAAGGTCAAGTTATGGTTTGGGAGGTGTGATCAGCTCTTGCTGAAGGTGGTAATTTATGTGGAAAAGTATATTAGACTCCAGACCTAGATGTGAATTGATAAAATACTCAAATTGGCATTTGTGCTTAATGTGGGGCTAGTTGTAACTTTTAGATTATACAGTAAGGGTATTTATAGAGTAAATGATATGTCTGGGATTTGCTTTCAAATTAATCACAGTGGGAAGCGGAAGTAAATACAGGTCTGGATGAAAGAGAAGTATCTGTCCTAATTTATAGTGACTTTCAGAATATACTTCCTTCCTGTGACCATTGGTTGATTTCCTCATTTCTGAACTGAAATTCTTTTTGTTTCTTGTTTATTTAATGTTTAGAATTGGAGAAAGAAATTGAAGAACTGAAATCAAAACCTGTTGCTGGAGGAACTGATGATATTATAAAGGTACTAAAACCTTTGCAAATATGAGTTTAATTCGTGTTTAGTTATTTTGAAGAAATGTCTGTTGAATTGCCTTGAATATTACCAGTTGGGTAGAGTGCTTACCTGGCTTTTTAATCCGTACCTTACACTTAGTGGTGGTCGTTAAGTTTTCTACCTCTAATGCACTGTAAAAAGGGAGCGTTAAATGACCTTGGAGTTCCTCGTAGTTTTAAGATGAGTGTTTGCTTTTCTCTTTTCTTCTTCCAACGCATTCTGTAACTATGGCTGTTCCTTGCTTTTTCCACCGCCCTCAGGAAACCCAGCCTTTCTCATGACTTTGAGGATTCCTTTCTGGGCTGATGACGTCTAGTTCTATCTCTTGCCATGACTGTTCACCCACATTTCACAGTTGTGTATCTAGCTGCATGAGGGGAAAAGCTTCAAGTGTTTCTCTTCTCTGCTCCTCAAGCTCAACGTGACCAACTCCCTTAATTGCCATTGAGTCGCTTCCAACTCAGTGATGCTGTGTACAACAGAATGAAACCCTGCCCAGTCCTGCGCCAACCTCACAGTTATGTTTGAGCCCATTGATACTGTCACTGAGTCAGTCCATCTTGCTGGGGGTCTTCCTCCTTTCTGTTGATTCTTCCACTTTTCCAGTCATGACGTCCTGGTCCCGCCTAAGAACATGCTAAAGACTGAGAGAGGAAGTTCCACCGTCTTTTTTTCTAAGGCACATCTGGCTGTACTTCCAAGACAGATTTGTTTTTTTGGCCGTGCATGGTCCTTTGAATAATCTTCTCTAACACTGTAACTCCTGTGCTCTTCCTTATTCATTGTCCAACTTTCTCTTGCATATGAGGCAATTGACTCATCAGGTGCTTTCAGACCTCACTGTGGAGAGGTCTTTGCAGCAGATCTGACCATCGCCATGTCTCTTCTGGGCTCTTTTACTCTGCTTCCGTGAGTGTTCACTGTGGATCTGAGCAACTTCAATCTTTTCTCCATTTATCATGATATTGTTTATTGGTCCATTTGTAAGAATTTTGGTTTTCTTTACATTGGGATGCAATCTATACTGAAAACTATAGTCTCTGAACTTCATCAGTAAACATTTCAAGTTCTCTTCACTTCCAGTAATAAGAGTGTGGCATCTGCAGACCTCAGGTTGTCATTGAGTCTTCTTCCAATCCTAATGCCACGTTCTTCTTTATGTAATCCAGCTTCTCACGTTATCTGCTCAGCTTACAGACTGACTAAGTATGAAAGGATAAGGCCCTGCCACACACAGTTTCTGATCTTAAACCATTCAGTATCCCCTGTTTTGTTCCAACAACTGCCTCTTCGTCTGTGTTCAGGTTCCTAGAGACCACTATGAAGTCTACTGGAATACCCATTTTTCAGAATGCTATTCACAGTTTTTTGTGGTCCCCATATAACAGATCAAATGCCTTTGTATAGTCAATAAAGAACAAGTAAACATTTCTCTGCTTCCGTATGATGTCAGCAGTGGTATCCTGAGTTTTACGTCCTCTTCTCGATCCGACTTGGATTTCTGGCAGCTCCCTGTCAATGTACTGCTGCAAGCATTTAATTATCTTCAGCAAAGTTCTACATTCATGTGATATTAATGATATTATTAGACTCCCGCATTCCATTGATTCACCTTTCTTTGGAATGGACACAAATGTGGTTCTCTTCCAGTCGGCCATGTGGCTGTCTTCCAAGTCTCTTAGCATCGACGAATGAGCGCCTCCAGCACCACATCAGTGTGTTGAAAGATTGCTCCAGTCTGTGTTCTGTCAGGCCCAGAATCTGGGTTTTTACCAGAGCTCTCAGGGTAGCCTGGACATCTTTCTTCAGCACCTTCAGTTCTTGATCAGATGCTTCCTCTTGAGATGGTTGAATGTTGACTCCGTGCAGTGTC